GAATAATCAAGCGAATAATTTCAGAAATGAATCAGTGCAGGACATGGAGTTAAATCTCCGGGACATGACTTTTTAGGGTCTTTCAACTAGTTCGGACACATTCTTAATGTACGGAAGTGTTCGCCGTACATTAAGAATGAGTCCGAACTAGTTGAAAGACACCTGAGAAAGCACCAGATACATGTGGCGCACAAGCCGATGACTACACTTTGTAGCCAGCTTGTGCAACTTAAGTATAGGATTGTCTATTTGGATAAGAACGAAGTCGTCTATAAGATACCATGCAACACCTGTATGCGGTTTACTGTGGTCAATCTAGGAAATCGGTCTCTACACGAATACACGAACACCAGTTGCCCGTATAAAGGCGCGACTGCTTGTCCCAAGGTGCCATGCATACGTTGAAAACTGGACACAAATTCGACTGGGACAGAACCCGCATTGTTGGAGTCTGCTCATCTAAAGAGGGTCGTAATAATTGAGAATTATTAATTTAGTAATAATAATCGTCCTCATAATAATTTAGAAAATAATAAGTACTGCAACAATTTTGCTAATAAATATATAGGAGTTATAATAACAAATATAAATATTTCTAAAACTTATAACTAATTAATCATTGTGAATATAAAATTATTCAAAGTGCCATAAGTATACTTATTGCAATTATTGATATAATATGAATATAAATACAGTAATTAACATAATTGGCAAAATATAAAAAATTAAATAAAGTATTATCTTTAGGAACTCAAATGAAAACTAACTATAAATATTAAATAATAATACATAATGGATATATCAATATTTACATGAAAACGAATCTAATAAGTTCAATTGTAAAAAATAATTGATTTAGAATTGTTAATGATATAAACGTCACAATATTGGAATTTATAATAATATCTGGTATGATTATTATTCTATCATTGTTATAACTATTAAAATGTAATTTCTAATTAGATAATATATTAATTATTCTCAATCATTATGAAGTTGTTTTTAATATTATTTTAACTACTATATATAATATACGTGGTCCATCATAATTATTTGCAGACTTCAATTATTCTAATAAATTTTGTATAGTTAATATTCTTAATTTATTTTTAATTATAAATTAGTGCTAAGTTGAATGTGTCTAATTATTTATATTTTTAATTATACAATTTTTTGCGATCAATGTTTTTAATATTCAAAATATCCAATTATTTTTATAAAATTTAAAAATATAAAAGTGGTAAATAAAATAATAACATGCATCAATATTAATTAAATATAAGTAAAACATTATAACTAATTATTATTATAAATATAAATTATAACATTATTTATAAATTTGTAATAATTTTTTTCTTATTACTATGCATATTTTGTGAAATATTTTGATTATAAATTAGATGGGAATTCGAATTTTTAGATGCTCATATTGACAGCATATATGCAACCTTACTGTATAATTTTAAGTTATACAGAAAATGCTATATATAATATCTATATCTCGAACAATGTTTTGAATATACATAATCATATGATTGGATATTCATTAGATGTGCTAACTCATGAAATGTCATTGTCCAATAATTTACCTTACTAACAACACAGGTATTAGCTAAAAGCCCAGACACGCGTGTTTCGCCGATCTTGTGCCGCTGCCTGACGCAGGTGCGAGGGGTTCGGCTCGTCACTGGGTCCCCCACTGAAATGCGTTCTCGTTTCGAAAAGATAAATTAAGTGGTGTCGTAAATCTATTCACGATGCAGCATAAATTTATAATAATCCAGTTACCACAAGGTGTCTGTTTACGAACGAACTTATTTTCGGCTGCATGGAAGATCTATACACAGCAAAAAATTACTATATATGTAGTATGCAATTTTCTCGTTGATTTTCGATGCCCTTGAAAATTCAATTATATTTCATTTGTAACATGCATCGAAAAGTTTATTCTTTCACTTATTCGGTAGAAATCACGTCTCCTTCCAATTTCATACTCAAAAGAAAAGTACTTAGTTTAGCTTTTAGAAACGAGAGCGCATTTCGAAATTTTGGTTGACATTTCATGAGTTAGCACATCTACTGTATTAACACTTATATAAGATTGCTATTTTATTCTACGTTTATTATTGAGATATATAAATATTATGACAGATAGGCGCTCACCGATCAGGTTACAGAACATGCTCGTTCTGTTGTACCTTTGGGGCTCATACTTAAACCCTCGCAGGCAGTCGCACAGCGACTAGTGATATAGGTAGATAAGGTGATACCGACAAAGACAAGGGAGATCGGAATGGCCGTTTCTGGCTTATTAGCCGTCATCAGCCAGTCATACCCAACCCCAAGTGTGGATCACTTGAGATTCGAACCCGGGGTATTTGATCATGGAGTTTGATGCTCTACCATTGAGCCACGGGCCCGATGTCCTGTCGGTTGTGATCGGGAATATCAATTATGACAGATGGGCTAATAAGCCAGAAATGGCCATTCCGGTCTACCTTGTCTTTGTCGGTATCACCTTATCTACCTATATCACTAGTCGCTGTGCGACTGCCTGCGAGGGATTAAGTATGAGCCCCAAAGGCACAACAGAACGAGCATGTTCTGTAACCTGATCGGTGAGCGCCCATCTGTCATAATTGATATTCCCGATCACAACCGACAGGACAACGGGCCCGTGGCTCAATGGTAGAGCGTCAAACTCCGTGACCAAAGATCCCGTGTTCGAATCTCAAGTGATCCACACTGGGGGTTGGGTATGACTGGCTTATGACGGCTAATAAGCCAGAAATGGCCATTCCGGTCTCCCTTGTTTTTGTCGGTATCATCTTATCTACATATATAAATATGTTGGAAGGTAGTCATCCCAAGAAACATAAGTCGAAGTCGAATGTGTGCTTTGGGAAAGGAAGTTTATTGTGCAAATTCTCGACGCCGGTTCCCCGAATCGTCGTCACGCACAGACGGAAAGCAAATGCGCCAACACAGTTAACATCTTAAGTACACGTAAAAAAACCTCTAA